CTGGACACTATAGCCTTTTTTACATTTACATGGACTTGTAGATATACCAAATACGTCTTTTAAGGTTCCTTTACTCGGGGATTTCATTTTATTTTAATTAGCTATAGTACTGTCTGATGAAATGTCAGTTCCAGCGTTTAATATACATATTTGCCTTTACATGATAATTTTTGTAGTAGAGTTTTTTCATTATGAAAGGTTCAATAATGGAGTGTAGGAATATTAGGATTAAAGTTCCATGGACGTTATAAAGAATATAGGTCTTTGATGGACGTACGATACAATCAGTGTATGCATGTGTGCTTTGAGTATTCCAAAGGCATGTGTACTATACAGAGGCCGTTTAGTAGTTAGCAAGGTGGCCAAACTTTTTATTACATATAGGAAAGGCCGCTTCGTAAAATAAGTTATTTGTGTCCAGTTAATACAAAATCGAATGATTCAATATTTTTATAGTGCTTTGTCCTATATCTTATATGGATGTAAGATCACGTAATCTGTATTTTCAAGAAAAAATCAAAATGAAGGTAGGAATACACATGTGTTGTATTGTACGTGTAAAGGTAAAATTAGTGATGGGACTCCAGCCGTGTTTCACTCGAGTAGCTTCTATTTTACTCGCACACGAGTAGAATAGAAGCTGCTCGAGTAGAGTAATGTTTGAGTAGAATAATGAGAGAGAGTAATATTTATGGCCACTCGGATTAGGAATGACTCAAGTCAACTCGAATGAGTCGAACAATTCGAGTGGCCTGTACCGATTCGAGTGAGAAATTCAAGTCAAAACATGTTTAGTCGATGTATCTTCCATTTATAATAAGGTACAGGTTTGTTTGAGCGAGTTTTTTTATATTTAGTAATACGTTTTTTAATCATTTTTGTTAATAGTATGTGTTCGAAATGAGTGAGAGTTCGAAGAAAGCTATGTGGTAGTTTTACGAAAAAAAATGTGAAACAAAAAACAGTTATTTGTAGGTTTTGCAACAAAAGTTACATAGACTCTTGGAATACTACCAACTTGATTTTTCATAATATGAAGAATAAACATCAGGTTCAGTATAAGGATATAAGGGGTGAGTTAAGTTCGTCTCATGCGTGTTCTTCAACTAGTGAAAAGAGTTCTGTATCCACGTCTGTCGATTTCGATTCTACATCAAAGAAACGGCGTTTTCAGCAACTAGCTTTTTTAGCTTGCAAGGCGTGATGCATCGCTTACGAAGCAAAAATAAAAAACATCTTTAGCTCTAATCCAAATGGTTTTTCAACACTTACAACCTCTACAAATTGTGAAAAACAAAGGTTTTATTAGTTTTTGACAGGCGAGTAACACGAGTGAGAAAAATCACTCGAATTTTATCCTCATTCAAGTGGCACTCGAGTGGTTAGGTTATTACTGGCGAGTGACTCGAGTGAAAAAATGTCATTTGAGTTTGAGGCCCATCAATAAGTCAAACTATACCTCTCATTATATTTATAAAAACAGTCTGCAAAAACCATTAGACAGTGAACTTGTTGTTTACTTCTCTTAAGTGAATTATAGCAAATTAAAGTTCACAGTGGCCTTCATTGAGCCGGATTTTTATTGAATAGACGACCGATAACGTCGAGTCTGGGCTTAGACCATTCAATGTCTAAGTCATACGAACTCTATGTTTAATCCATATCCGTGAACCAGTATCTATAATAAAGTATTCGTTCCTATTACACAAATTCGAGTCCAAATAAAAGTTTTTATCTGCTCATAAATTTATTTATTGTGGCCTTGGCTACAAAGCCTTCAATCAAAAAGAATGCATTAAATTGTAATAAGTTAAATATAAAATTTAAGTTACAAAACTTAAAAATATGTTTATGCGCAGATGTGATACATTGCGATGTTTTTGAGAGAATTTGACGGCACCTTAAGTCAAAAGACTCAATGACGATAATGACTCAAGATGCAGTAAACAAAATACTTAACGTCTTAAGTCCACACACTATCCATCAACTATCCAACAGTTATTCAATTATTTCACTAAATTTACGCATGAATAGACATTTACACATTATTACCTTTTGCATTTGGTGACAAAATAATTTAATTTTTCGCGGTGCTATCGAGATAAAATTTTGAATTGCATTGTTTTTCTAAGTAAAATAATTAATAAACCCATACTTCGATTTCTTGCCTCCTTAACTATTTTTACTGAAAAAATTCCAACCCCTGCAGATTACGGTATTTTTTTCGGTTTCATGCCGCAATGGCGAGTGAATATCTAATATTTTATTAAATTAAAATCAAACGCAAATGATAATATTATTGGCAGCAGTGGACTTTGATAATCTGTCATGAATAATTTATAAGGCAAATAATACGCTGCGCTATGGTACTGGCTTGTAAAATATTTATAATTTTTGATTATTACAGCTTAATTAAGCAGAAAATTAATGAATATGGTACTCAAAGCAAAACGGATACAATAACTTGGAATGTATATTACCATCTTATTAGTTTGTGGTATATTACCGAACCAGCATAAAACTGTGAAATAATAGAAGTTATATTGCCTCTGAGTTTCGTATGTTGAGGGTAGAGACAGTTTTATAAGTTAGAGCAAGAAAGTTCGATTAAAATAAATTCATTTATGCTTGAAAAATTTATTATACACCTGTTTAATTACACATTTTTTACTTTACTAAATATGTCTTGCTTTTTATTACTTTTTACTTTATATATGTACATACTATGCGTACTGTAAGTCTGTAGTGATTATATACTCTTTGGGTCTTTGTTTAATAAACTATCTCCTTTACACATATTGATCTATCCTTGTCCAAAATACGATAACGTATCCGCCTCCTTGATAGCGATCTGCCAATGGCGTAATTCCACATACGCTTTTTCGAGAACTGTGTAAAAAATTAATTTCCTGCTATGCGGTCGATTATGTACGACGTAGGATTTTGTTTGTGTGAGACAATATATCAAAGAAAAGTTTTCTAGCGAATGCTTATCCATACCGCAAACTAAGTGAGAAAGAGTAATGCGATTTACAAAATACTAAAGTTAAGTGTGAGGTGCGAGTCAGGAGTTAAAGTTAAATTAAACAAAAAAAATGAGCGCTCCCATTATCATCACTGTTCCTAACAACTACCTGGCTATGGAGGAGATGGAATCGAAGGTGATGGTTGACGTCCCGTCGCCATCACCTTCAAGAAAAAGGAGGCTCGATCATCTTACGTGGGAGGAGAAAATGCAACGAAAGTAAGTATTGGATGTTTCATCAGCTGCTTGCGTGTCATATTTTCCTAATTTGATAACATTTTATGAACTGTCAATCTTTTTAAATAAACCCTTTCTGTATGTCATAAAATAATGGCAAGGATTTGAGGAATTAAAAAATAAAAATGCCGTTTCCCTTTAATTTGTTGAAATAATCAATATCAGTTTGCAGACTGAGTTAATACACTAGTGAGGATTATACATACATAGTTCATGACGTAATATCTCTGTGTGCTTCTCTCGGACTTTCCGCTAATCAATATTTCCTTATTAAATATATCTACTAAAATATAATTAACTTATATGTAGGTAATATTTATAAAGGCCTAACTTTAATAAGCTGTTTTTTATTGTTGTAAACACCTTGAAAACAAATTTATTATTTCTAATCAAATCCAGTGGGAAAGAGCTAATGTGCTTTTGCCAATGTAAAATCTATTATAGTATTTTCATATTGTAGGAAGTTGAAAAATCGTGTAGCAGCTCAGACTTCCCGTGATAGAAAAAAAGCAAAAATGGATGAAATGGAAAACCGCATCAAACATTTCATGGAGGTGAATGAGAAGCTTATAAGCGAAGTTGAGAGTTTAAAGGTATTATCTGCTTTTATGAATTTTCTTAAAAAATTAACTGAATATTGTATAATTTGTTTTTTTTTTATAAATATAAAATAATGATAATGCATGATTTTTATAAATATGATTTCTCATTAATTTAAACTAGAATTTAGATGATTTCTTATGATTACTTTTACTTTTTTTTTTGCTGTTTTTGCTTATTTTCAATCTTTAGTATTTATGCTAAACAAATGATGGTTTTTACAGGCTTTAAATGAACGTCTACTAAGTGAGAATGCAAAGCTACGCAGTGAAGCGGCGGCTCGCACCGTCGCGGGAGCCCCGGGACCAGCAGAGTCTCAACCTCGGCAGAAGGACGGGCTCCCGCCGGCGATGCGAGCAGCACGCCTACTGTTGGCGATGTGCCTCTTACAGACATCCTCGCCCACCTCGACTCTGAAGAGTATCTCGACAGCCTCCAACAACTTGCAAACTCCCTCCTCCAAGAGATTGATGCAAGTGCTGCAGGAGCGGTTGAAGATGTAGGTTTTTTTCTATTATTGTTATTTCAAAATTATTAATAATCTCAACTCTTTAGCGTCATAATTATAAATTTTGAATTTATCATACTAAATTGAACTGTAGCTAAGTTCCAACATGGTGCCAAAGGCACCTGTGCAATAAGAATATAATATCTAGATTGATTGCTATAGTATAAAATATTTTTGTTTACTATGATGCAATATTTTGCACTCTTACATCACACTTTCACATAATAATTCAGATTATCCCAATAATTTTTTATTTTAATAAGACTTGATGAAGCAATCTACACTGCTAACTAAATTGTTAACAGATTAATTTATTATTTAACAACTGCAAGTTTCAAAATTATTGCATCAGCCTGTGAACTTCCAAACTCTGTTTTAATTGATGTTAATAAATTGCAGTACAAGTCTTTGTTAACATATTTTTATCCAATTTGTATAAATGTCCATTCTAATTTTTTAATATTATTTTGTTTATAATAGGTCACAATCAGGCAAGCTGGAGAGTGCATTGAAGGAGCTCAAGTGGTGGGGACCACAACAAAGCAACTGGAATCCACTAAAGGTGGAAGCATAAACACAAACGCAGTATATAAAAGTGATGTTGACATCAAACATGATGTTGACAGAATAATGTCACAGCACTCATATGCACATCCCCACCCCGACATCGTAGTCACTAAACCTGAAGAAACAGAACAATTAAAGGAAGACAACTGGGATAAAGGAGACATCTTCTTCACAAGTGTTGATGATGCAAATGATTGCATCACCATTGAAGTGCCCTGTGAAGATCAAGTTGTGGAAGAAGTTATACCTGTCAGTACGGATATGGACTTTAAGTCTCTAACTAATAATAGTTCAGAAATAATGTTAGAATGTGACATGAAGTTATTGTCACCAATGAGTTTATCCCCAAAATCAGAAGAGAATTTACTAGGATTGTCACCATCACACACAATTCTCAGTTCAGATTTAGGTTATGAGTCATTGGCATCTCCGTTCAGTGAACCAGAATCTATGGACTTGTCAGACTTTTGGTGTGAATCATTTTCAGAATTGTTTCCTGGCTTAACATAAGTTGATGGAGGAAACATTCTTTTTTTTTCTCACCCAAAGACTGATTAGCTATTAAGTTTAAATTGAAATTACAAATAAAATAAATGCCTAACTTCTAAGCTTATCAATGACAAATTATCTATAATTATGTTAATATATTTTATATTGGTTATTATAATAATTAAGTTATTGTTTTATATAAACTAGATGTCCTGTATGGGGTTGTACATAATTTCAGTGCTATAAATAAAAAAATCCTTATACTAATTTTGTTTATTTTAGTAATAATGTAGAAAAATAAGATTTGAGATTGACTTAAAGAGTTGGTCTGTAAACTCATTTTGCTTCTCAACCCTTTTGCTGGTGGATATTACATTGTCAAACCTTTAACCTAAATTGAAAGAATTTTCATATCAACTTCATCTCCAGTCCATTAATAATGAACAAGGCGACATAAAACAACCTTTATTTCTTCACTGCTGTATTTCGGTCTGAAGTATATAAAGAGCCAGTCAGTATACAGACTGTGAGGCGATTCATTGTTAGTGCTCGGAGTTGACAATGCAATATAGATGCCTTCTTTAAAGTCCATAGTTGGCTGCATGCCGATGTTAAAACATCGATGTTTTAATTTTTAACATCGATGATCATCGAACATCCCTAATCAGAAATCGCGTTTACTACTGCTAGACCAACGAGGCATTCAAAGCAAAAGTTTTAATATACATAAGCAATATCACAAGATTAGTATCTATTTTGTTATATCTAATTTTGCTTGACGGTTTATCGAGTATGCTTTCACCTTTGACAGGTACCATATAAATTTCAACTGGATCCATTGCGCACTAGACAGTTCAAACACTGTAACTATTACTGCTGGCTGGTATGTTGAGCACTCGGAAACGATAATTACAGTACCGAAAATTCAAAGTACAATATATACATATAATAGGAATAAAGCTGGCAGGTTATTTTCGAAGTCATTGACATTATCAGTTATCACTACTGCTACATCTCTGGAACTTCCCGCTAATTTCAAATGCAAAGCGTTCCAAATTTCACCAAATTATGTTGCGAAATCTCGAAATTTGTTAAAAATACGTTTTTTTTTAAATTATACCTCCTTCAATATCTCACGAACCAATGAACCGATTTTTATTTTCCAAACGGCATTCCACGTAATTTTTTGAGGTTAACAGATAATTGAAATCGATCGGTAAAGCCGTTTAAAAGTTATTCCAAAAAAAGTATTTAAATTTTTTTATTTTTGAGTTTTCTCAAAATGTACTCGTACGAATCAGTTCATATTATCACCAAATCTATTCCACGTTGAGATCTTTAGACCGCATCTCAATCGATCAATACGTTAAAAAGTTATGAAAGATTAACGTACACACACACACACACACACACACATATATAGGTACATACATACATCCGCACGGACGTCCACGTGAAATTAGAATAGCTTCCTAGGATCTCAAAACGTCGGGATCTGATGAAAACTCGATTTTCGAAAATCGGAGTGAAACCTAACTTCCCTATTTTTGAAAATTTTCAATTTTCTTAGCGGGAAGTTAAAAATTTACAATATAAGGAACTAATTATCGGCTTTGACTTATAATTGTAACTATAATGTACATACAGAATATTGATAATAAGAATATTCTTTAGACCAAGTTTCGATCAAAACGGCCCGTCTCATCGTAGACTAGTCATCTGCGCAGGACACGATTAGAGTGCACAAGCACTCTAACTCTTAAAAGCAATCTTACTCTTATAAATACAATGAATGGAACGGCAATCCGACACGACCTAACAGGAGAGAGATCAGACTTAGGCAGTGTCTGGTTTAGAGTTTTGACAGTCCTAGGTTAACAATGAATATGCCCCCATCCCTTTTTCAGTGCCCACAAATAAATTCTAGTATTTTTATAGTTTACTACCCCGCGGTTTTCCCGTGAGAATTAGGTATTTTCTCGTGGTAACAGGTCTTTCTTCAGCATGCAGTCAGTCTATCTCATTGCTTTATGGAATCTGTTCGATAGATGTAGAAAGGTTACAGACAGTCAAACCGACTAAGTTCTTTCACTATTATATTATGAGTAAGTGTAGCTATAGCATTTTTTAATATTCAATTATATAATTATATATATCTTATGAAATATATTATTATCAAGTATTTCAGTTTGTACTATTTTTTTTATAAAATAGGGGCAAACGAGTAAGCTCATTTCTTGAAGGTCAAGTCAGGTCACTCAGTAAAAATCGCCGGTAGTAGATGATTCCACAAAAAGGCAGAAAACTCATGTCATGGTTGACCGCCAAGCATCTAGATGTTGTGAAAGATACCGTGTTGTGTGTGAGTGGATTTTGGCGGCTGGAATAGCAATTCCCTTGTGCACTCCCCGTGGTAAATGCAAATGGATTCAACATCTTTTCGCAGTGATCAGTACAAGAACTTGGTCGTCGAAGATTCGAGCTGCTCTTCGTTGTATTCGGTCAAGTAGAAGGATCTGGCACGGGGGTGCCCGGGCCAGAAATGAGAACAGTATTCCATGTGAGGCTGAATTTGTGCCTTGTAAATTTGCAAGCGGTGAGCCGGCATGAAATACTGCCCCACTCTGCTGAGCATGCCAGGCATTTTAGGGGCCAATTTAGCCAAGATGAAGCCAAGTGACCGCCGAACTGTACTTCATTTGATATGTCGATGACGAGGATTCAGATGTTGGCTGAAGCAGCAAGGGCCCTAAAATTGAGAGTATACGACAAAGGGGTCTTTTTAGCCGTAAATGCTCAAACGTGTGTCTTCTGAGGGTTAAACTGAACTAGATTTAACCATCCTCAGTCCGTGTCTTTGTGTAATAAACATTTGACTTCAGACACAGATCTTGATGCTTCGATCTGCAAGAAAACTGATGATCCAATTGCACAATTTCGCGGGAAACCCATAGGAAGGAAGCTTCAAAAGAAGCGCTTAGTGCCAGACCAAATCGAAGGCCTTTGCTATATCCAAACTAACGGCCAAGGCCTCTAGGACCCTACTGCCTCCGCTCATCTGTAAGTCAGGTAAATTAGAAGATCATCAGCTGAGCGACCGACGGAAACCCCATTGGCGGAAATTAATTAGCCGGTAGTCCTCAAGGCCAAGGTACCTCATGAGCTAGCAGTTTATAATATATTTATATTATAATTATTATTATAATATAAATATATTATAAACTGCCAGTCTTATTCTCCAAATCCAAAATATATAATAATATATTTTGGAGAATAAGGAGGTGATGGCGGTAGGCCATAGATTACTGTATATATACTAGAGAGGCGGTAGGCCTTCCATGAGTTCGGGACAACGACTATGGAATAGGAGTACCGGAAAAGACGCGTTAGAACCGGTGCTGATTCTGAAGCACAAGTGGAGGCGTAAAACCAACGGTCTTACTTAAATGCACCGATGCACGGAGGTGACGGTAGCTCAGTGGTTAACGCTCGCTGGAAATATAACACAACGAGAGTAACCCGGGTTCGATCCCCGCCGGCACCAATGAAATTGTTAATCGCAATTTGAAGTGCTGATTTACCACGTGCTCGGCAGTGTAGGAAAACATCGTGAGGAAACCTGCATGTCTGAGGAATAAGAAAAAAAATATTTCGAAGACATGTGAAGTTCGCCAACACGCATTGGAGGCAGCGCGGCGGACACTTCCTTGCCCTAAACCCTCTCAGAAATGAGGGGGAGGTCTGTGCCCATTAGTGGGACGTATATAGGCTGTAACTTTACTTTACTTTTTACGGAGGTGACACCGCCAAATTCCTGAATCCGGGCTGCTACTTAGAATTTCTTGAGGGAAAATCGCTATATATACTTACTGAACCTGAAAAAGTTTTATTATCAGTTTCATGCCAAATGGCGATTACCGTAGTAAAATTTTGAGTTAATAATATTTGTATTATTTTATGATTATTACGTTGCTTTTTCCAATCAAACGGTAAATTATATTTTACCAACAAAATGTAGAAGTATTTTTTACTATTTAATGTTTTGGTTAAGAGATTTGCTGATTTATTTTATCGAAAGGTCTCCCCGACACGACACTTAGACTGTAGAATTTAATCTGATGACAATTAAAAGCTGATAAATTTTTACTGTAACCAACCTTGCCGAATTTAAAGATGGAGAGATAGTGTGTTTTAAGGATAAAAATATAACAAAATTCTAAAAACTGTCATACCTATTGATTTCGTTTTCCAAACATGGCCTCCAAAAACAAACTTGTTTTGATAATCAAACAATGTAAGTATTTAAGGTTAGTAAACTGCAAAGCTTGTGTTATAAATGTTGTGTAACAACTAACTATAATGCCTGTGCCTTGAACGAATTAATTCGTTCAAGGCCTGTGCCCAAGTATATTCTGGCTTAGTTGGGAATTTTAGTAATATTATTACTATATACCTACGATTATTTATCGCCAACGCACCTGCGACTCTTTTTACATAGGCGGCGGTAGCACGCTTGACAGTCGGATTTATCGATTTGCGGTATCAGATGTCTCACACACGGAGAGAAAGGATGTACTCGTACATTAACTTACACCGTACACGCACGCACGCACGCAATCACACACGCACAAACACACACACACACACACACACACACACACACACACACACAAACACACTACACGACAAATATTCATTTATTCATTATAGTCCATCGAAAGTTCACTGCTGAAATAGGTGTGCGCCAATAATTGCCTCATGGAGGTGCCATAGCTGACGCGCTTGGAATCAGGTTGGCAACCGCAGTGTTTTTATTATTATTGTGTTGTTATCAGGAACATGCTGCTTCTAATTTCCTGTTTCAATTTCCCTCTGCCGCCTCCCAAGATACCCACGGGATGTTGTAAGGTAGTGGATTCTTTTACGGCACTACACGGCAGACGGTAAATTTTGTCTTTGATGTGTTAATTTACTAATTGGTTAGTTTTCAACATACTTCTAATGAACTTATATAAAAATGT